CCTCACTTAGGGTCACCTGAAATTGTGACAGCACTCCTTTGCTTGTGAGAGTCGATACATGACAAGCTACGATTTAGTTCATGCACTTAAAACGATGTTACAAATCTGTGAGCTAAGCATCAAGCTAAGTCCTGAGTCCTATACGTGACAACTCTCAACTATTTAAGCCCTAATATGACTTTGCGCAGCTTTAATGAGCGAGTGACCTTAGGATGGAACTTGAACATCTCCAGAGAATCGTCTCCTGTTCTGCCGTTCGTGGCATAATACAAATCGATTAAACGTTCTCTGGTCTCTATCATCCACGGTGCGGGATGCTGAAACATATTATTACTTCCATTTGTACATTCGTAGTGGCGTTTGAATGCGATGTGGCCTATACAATGACTTGCGGGGGCCAGCCGATGTACAAGTCAGTGTTTTTATCCTCCCAGACAAGTCTGGTACCAATTAACCGACCCCGGAGGGATGGAAGGCTTGGTTGGCCCGGGCGACTCACGACCCAGGATTTGATCCCCGGACCGCTCGCGAGATTCGTGCATTGCTTGTTCGTGCCCTTAGCCTTTGAAAGTGGCCATGGGATCAGAACTGAATGGCTCGATGCCGAAGTACATTCAGAAAATTGTCTCCAGTGCTAAGTAACAATACGCTATAGATTATCAGTGGCACAAATAAACTGTTGTGGCTTATTCCAACCCCTATATTGTTGTTATTCTTGCTAGCTGCACGATAGGGTGACGTAGTGGCAAGTGGCGCTACATACCAGAGACACGGCCAGGTGGCCAAAATCAGTGTCGACTTTCGTTCAGTCCAAGCAAACCTTCTCCCTCAGGGTACACATAGCCTGCAGAGCTTAGAAGTGGAGGTAATCATCGAGGCACAAGTTTCTCTGACCCTTCCGAACTCTCTTAAGCTTTTTCAGTCCATGGAGATTAAAGTCCCTGCGCGTCACCAAGTGATGGTCTTCGCTCTCTCAGTTGCTAGCGTTGTGTTGACGCCACGTGGAGCGAGCCGGTTTAACGAAGGGCAGACATTATCACATCGCGACCATCGTGAGAGTGTCACAAGGATAATAACACCTGGTCAAAAAACATCTGATAATGCTACAGTGTGGGTACGAATTTTAGCCCAGAATAGTCGTCATCCACGCTAGAATTCGAAACTACCGGAAAATGTGGAGCAGATCAAGTATTTCCGCAGCCAGAGCCAATTACATATTGTATGGTGAGGGTATAGAGCCTTTGGCTTTGTCAAGTCTTTTTGGGATGCGCCATGGACTCTACTCTCATTTAGGATCGTAGTGTCATCTTGAATGTGATGTAGCCTATACAATGAGTCCGGAGATAGCTGGTGTGGAAAATTCGTACACGTATTCGACCCCCAACCATATGCAGGATGAGTGGCACTCCCTGCAGCTAAACCACCTCTGCCCATGGTACACTTGGCAGAGGAACCGGTCGCACAAAAGAAGATGATGAAGGGTAAGGGTCAAAATAAGAGCTGAGGCAGGGAATAGTTGGACGAGCATAATCCCGCAAAAGGTACGGTACGATAAGATGTGGAGGTACGACTCTTCGATATGAGGCACACTCCAGGATGAAGATCGGACGATCAATGGTACCATATCAACTACGTTTCGTTGCCACCCTTCGGTCGGTGTCAGACTTTACGAAGCGAATCCGTCGATTCCCGAGCGAATTCGAGGGAAGCGAGCGTTGCACCAGGAAATCTGCGTTTGAATACGCCGATGCCTTTCAAAACGCTGGCGCAACTCTCGTACCCCTCTTGATGAAGCCGGTTCTTGCGACAAACTCTGACACCAGCTTCCCACGTTAGAAATGGTAGGAGGGAGGCAGGAGCTCTGGAAAGTTGGAGAGTTCGCCAGAAGCGTAAACCCTCATGGCCATAACAGTTTAGTTACAGGGTGGCCAAGTTCGGGGGGCGGGAGGAGGCGGGATGCGGGACCATTCGATGACCATGCCGTGGAACGGCTGGAATCGTGCCGGGGGAGCGGGGGCCCCGGGAGTGGCCCGTGCACTGTTCCGGCACCATTCACACTCGAGACGCGAATTTCAATGGGCGATGAGCATCACGTCCTGTATTGCAAATACCTCGCCAAGCTGCATATGGATAGTTCGGATTGGCGATCGTACGAAGCCTACTTAAGCGAATACGCGATGAGGAAAGAGACTATGTACTGAACATTTTTGCCTTTCCATCGCTACTCGCCTACTCGCCCACACGCTTTATGGGCAGAGCAAAGCATTCGATAAGTGTGTAGTCTTCCCCGCCCAATCGCCCACTCTCCTAATCGCCTAATCGCACGTACGATCGCCAACTATGAACGTTCCATGACGCTAATTTTGCAGCATTACGATTAACAATAAGGTTACGTTCCATTCCAGCCGACGTGGAATGATTATAGTCACTCCTCCCGGTCTGTCAGATTGACTCTCACAATCAGAGGACAATCACAGGTGTGGAACTCCTGCGCGAGGAGATTGGCTGATAAGGGAGTCTCGCAAAGACATATTCAACTGCTTCAGTTTCCCTCATCTGCTGCGCTCTCACTTCATACTCTCCTTTCTGCTCTCACTTCTCTCTAGCTTACTTCAGCATAGCCGCACTATGGAGGTGGGAAAGCCCTTAACTTGAGCCTTCTTTACGGATCCTTTCCGTCTTTCTTCGCTGTCGACCCAATCCGCGCCGAAAAACTTCACGTCTTGTGCGAGAACCACACGAACTAAATCCTAAGTATAACTTAAGTGCAGTGCTGCAGGTTCCACTGTGCAGATCTTTGCAAACTTTTGCCGTGACCGAAAGGTTTACACGTCGGAAAGTGGTTGCAATGAAAAGTTTAAGTGCACAACCTTCCACGGTAATAAATAGAACAGGATAATGAGGTTGGCTCTCGGAACAGTACGTAATGGTTGGAAAAAATGGAAAAGAAAAAAAGGCCTACAAATAAGGCTCTTCGCTCGTTCGCTGTGCAATTGAAGGGTCTCTCGAAGACAAACAGTTCTCGATAGATAGAAATCCGAAAATGGAGAGACTCGAACCCCATAGGAAATCCGAAAGAGTTTAAATTCGAGACAAGCCCCGAGCCCCAATATCAACTGCGACCGTGGCCGTGCTCTGGTCTCATGATGTGCGAGAACCGACGCAACGTGGCCTCTAGACCTTTTCCGCAGGATTGACTAACAAATATGACGCCTCATCTGCTTTCACAACTCAGCGACCCTATTCGAAAAGAAGATATGTAGGTCTAAAGGTGTAACGGGGCGTGCCTTACTATACTACACCTATACGTACCTTCAGGAGTGCAAGAAACTTTTATTCACAAAGGCGAAGATACCAGCAAAAGCTCCGTTCACTGAAAAGGAAGCATGACGCTGGAGTCTTTTGCTAAAGGGAATCGTTGACGCCTTTTTTCTTAACTAACCCTCCTTTCCTACACGTGAAACTCTAGGATCATGGTAGACTCCAGCTAAATACCTTCTTGCAAGTACTGTAATAATTTGGGGATAGCATACATTATACGAAGTTATACGAGACACACGAGAGATCGGGCTTGCAGTTCAGCTCCAGAACGAGGTTAATTATTCCATCTCAACTAGACCAGTTGGTGAGGAATTCATGCTGAACTGTAAAATTACGCTGTGACATCACTGGCGCCGTGTAGCAAGGCAAAAGTCAAAACGGAAGTGCATGTGGAAATATTAAAACGATCATTCGTGAATGGGAGTCGAAAGGGTGTGGGAGGGATCTGCTCTTGACACTTCGTCTTTTATAAAGGCTAGAGAACTCCCTGGGTCTTCCACATGCTAAGTGAACTGCGGGCACGACGTCAGCTAGACTACTTTTTCTGACTAACCCGGCTCTTTCCTCCCCGAGGGAATCCAGGTGCATAACAGATTTTAGGGGTCAAAAATAAATATCACGAGGATTTGGCCGATTTCACATAACCTGTACCGGAGTTACTGTAGTTATAGCTTAATGAGTTTGAATGAGCCACTCGCTTCCATAAGATCGGACCTACATGACGAAAGTAGGGGAAGCCTCACCCAAGAGAAATCTCTGCAATGTCTTGGCTCTTTGCTGCCCCTGTTTTTCGTATATCGTTTTTCTATGAGAACGGCTCACCGCCCAAGCAGTTCCGTTCACCGATTTCCCATCATGAGCGCTCTATCCGTAATCAGGGCAAGAATGCCAAGCTCCGAACAAAACTTCTAATTAGCAAGGAATAAAGCCCAAAAAAGGCCTTGAGTACAATTGGGCCATAAAAAAGGGAACAGCGCCAAAACCCCCACTTCGTTTCTAGTCGAAAGCCAGCTCGTTACGGGATGAAGGGGCCGCAACAAAGGTCTTTAAAAAGGCTGGGATTTCACTGATTGTACGATACACATCGGCACGCCCCGCTACACACTTTTGCGTCATACTCATTGCGCATGTGTCCTCATTATACTCCAGTAAGCCAAAAAGCCTCTCGACCTGCCATTGGTTTCAGGTCCATAGACCACTAGGTAGGTGACGACTTCCTCTGAGAAGACCGCTTGATGAGCGTATTTGGCGACTGCAGCAATACCGGCTCCAGACATCACTGTTTCTCGTCAGCCGTCTTTTTCTCTCTTCCTCCTTGAGACCCAATGTACTGTAGGAGCGAACGGCGTTGTCTGCGTCTTTGGGGGCGTGCACTTTCCGTCTCGTCGGCTACAGTATATCGATCAGCGAATGTGGGTGGGCCAAGGATGATTAGCACCATATTTGAACGCGCCAACTTCGAAGAGGTCGAGTCTTAGACATCGTTTGTCGCTTCTTCCTATTCAACTACTACTCATCCGCCCTAGCCTCAGTTCGGCTTCTGCTGTTCGTCAACCTTCCACAGCTTCTTCTGGTTTTCTTTAACGCGTTTCCGTCACCAGCCTCGAAGGCTAGACGCGATCCGCGATACGTGACAAGTACCTACTCGATCTCGTTCTCCTTGAAGCCCTTTTCTAGTCATGATCGTTATTGACTTCTTTGCTGGATGTCTAGGAGGTATGACTGATCTTTTACCATTCACCTTATCATTTCGTCAGCTTCACCCTGCAGGTTATTTATTCCCATTTCAGGAGCTGCCGGTGTCCTCGCCGGACATCCGTTGGATACGGTCAAAGTTCGTCTACAAATGCAACATGCCAGTTCAAAACTCTACCGCGGCACGTGGCACTGTTTCAGGACGATCATCAAGAAGGAGGGTGTCGCCGGCCTCTACAAAGGTGGGTGACCTTATCACAGTCGAGTTATTAAGAATGGCTATTGACCACTTGACCCCCCAGGCGGCATGGTGGGTGTTTGGCGTGATCTGCAAATTGATCTGATCGCAAAGTGAACGTATGTGCTCGCGTTTATGGGTAGAATACGTTGTGACGATTTTCCTTCACACATCAATCATCGCCCCAGTGAAACCGCCGTTGTCCCGCGCAGCCACTAACGATCTAATCAATGGCTCAATTTCATGGGACGAAATCGCTAGTTCGTCACTTCCGTTTGGAACGCTTTAGAGAATAGGTGAAAATAATTACAGTGGTAATAATTATAATAATAAATGATGCTTGGTAAACATCCCCTTAGATGGGTCCTATGGAGTACGGTAGCCATTTAGAGGGGTTAGTGTCGGT